TTCAGAAAAGCAGAGCTAGTTTCTACCTTCATTTGAAAATTTTATTTTATTTATCTATTCTTCTATTTTATATATTTTATTTATTTTATTTTAAAATGCTTTTAAAAAATAAACTCTATAGCAAGTTGGTTTGTTTGGTTTTGGAAACAGGTATGGCTACTGCTTAGAATAGTCTCACCATCTGCACATAACCAAGAACAACCAAGGACCGCTTCTGTGTCCCAAATGCTGGGGTTCTAGGACAGTCTACCACAGCTGATGAGCAAAGGCAGCTTCAGTGAATTTAATTAAAGAATGCATTAGCTACCCATAAGTAGAAACATTAAAAATTATTTCCAATTTGAGTCATCAAGATAACCCAATGGGAAAGGACCCTTTGTCACCAAGCTGGACAAGCTGTTCTGTTACTGAACCACGGATGAAGGTGGGTTCTGACTCTCTCAAGTAATACTGTGACTTTCATATACACCACATGGCATACACACACCTACAAACTCAAAATAAAAATAAATCAAAATTTAAAAATAAATCTATTTATTTTATAAAGCCATATAAAACTGTATATATTAAATATAATTTATTGATGAAATAATACTATACTAAAGATCATTTAAACACATTGAAATATAAATCTGTTTTTAAAAAACAAGCTTTAATATTAAAATAAGAAATGCGCTGGGTGGTGGTGGTGCACACCTTTAATCCCAGCACTTGGGAGGCAGAGGCAGGTGGATTTCTGAGTTCGAGGCCAGCCTGGTCTACAGAGTGAGTTCCAGGACAGCCAGGACTATACAGAGAAACCCTGTCTCGAAAAAACCAAAAAAAAAAAAAAAAAAAAAAAGAAACGCATAGGCACTAAAGGAAACACTCTAACACTCTCTCTTGTCAAGTTACTTAGGGATTATCATATACACAATAGCCTAACAAAGCACAAACCAACAAAGCAAACCACACTGCACATATGAATACATGCATTCAATAGCACACATGCTATGTTTACCTGAATTATATGAACATAGGGTTTTATCTGGAAAACAATGTGGAAGTAATGTCAAAAATGCAACTGAAAATTGTTATTGGCAGAAGGACTGTGGAAATCTTACCTCTATACTACAGATAATAAAGTTCAATGTGTTAAAAAGTAAAAATGCCATACTAATTCAGAATAAGATAGAAATGAATTATATATGAATACAAATTAAAATTAAGTTAATAGAAAATCTGACTAATTGAAAGAATTATAAGCTAAAAGCAGAAACTAAGGAAGATATACAAAATAACAATCTATTTATAGCTTGTACCATAGCACTTCTGTCAGGAACATAGACATATTATATAATCTGAAATTCAAGTGATAATTACTAGACAGAGAACATTAAACAGCTAAGGATCTGAAATTAGATGAACCATTGAAAAGTATCACTCATTTTGGAATTCTGAATTTCAAAGATGGACAATTTAAAGTTGATTTCCTTTTAAGAAAATGGTTAAGAAAAGCAACCATTCAAAATTTGAAGGATACAGTTATTTCAATATTTTAATACCATTTAAAAATGTATGAAAATCATCAAAAAGTAAAGAGATACATTTTGCTGCTTCTTTTTGTGATACAATTGCTATGTCTACTGGAGGGAATGTAATTTACTTAGTAACAAGTTATTAAGGAGGATGATTTTTCTAATACTGAATTAAAGTTTCAAAAGTGTAATGATAATTCTAACCTAAAGTTTCCAAATGTGGAAACAGTACACTTGTCAACGTTTCACAAGACTGATCTGTTCTGTTGGAAGCCTACATAGCAGATCAATTACATAATGTAGGAACAAAACAGAACTTTGTTTCTGGCCACAGTGGGAACAGTATAAGAAGTACAAGAAACCATTTCTCAAGAGAATAAACGTGTAACTACAGACCAAGAAACAAAAACTAGTAGACTAAGAGTAAATATTGTAACATTTAGAAGGTCATACTTTCATTAACTAAGAAAGAATTGAATGCAATAGGTTAGGTTAGGATTAAAACAACTAACAACAATGAAATAAGCACAAATTGTGAATATCAAGCTTCACCAGGACAGTCACTTATATTATTAGATTTCAAACTTACATCCTAATAATATCGTTTAAAATAAATGTAATAGTCATCTATATAATTTGTATATCTAACGATCCTCATATTGTGTTATGTATTCTCACATACTGATTATCTACTTTTCTCTTCTCTATTTAGTCAAACCATAGTGTTTTTTGGGGGGGCTAACTAAAACATTTTCCATAGTTCCTACCTTCACTATCTCTAAGGTACTCTTCAAAGCTCATATGACTTATATATACCACTCCATTCTACAGTAGGTTTTACACACACACTCATGCAGAGAAAGAGAGAGACAGAGAGCGAGATAGAGACAGAGAGAGAGAGAGACAGAGACAGAAGGAGATTAATTATGATACTGTTATGATACTTGGTTTTTCTATCCATGTATTTTTCCCACAATATTTTAAAAAGATTCTAAAACTACAGTAGTTTTTTTTTTTCTAAATTAAGGGTATGTGCTTCAGGATTAAAAACAAAGTGACATTTCCTAACTCTAGTTATATTAACATGTTATCATGATAATGATAATGACCACTCTAAGGAAGGGTGAGGTTACATGGGAGAGCAGCCTGGAGAAAGAGGTTGCTTTGGAGGACATTGAGGTTTCAGCGTCCACTATCATCAGTAAAGACCATGATTAAAGATGCTTTGTGAATAACAAAGTCTTAGTCTCTGGAAAGTTCTAGAGTACATTAATATTTTAATGTCACAGTAAAGTAACTCCAACCTGCAGCCACCACATAGGAATGAAGCCCCAGGGCAACCAGTATTAGGAGAAATTGCCATGCTCAGACCTGGCTTCAGATAACCACTGTAACTTGGGACACTTCAGTAGAGATCAATGTGGATAAAAATCTAAGGGGTATTTTTGAATGCCACCCTTTCTTTGCTTTCCTGAAACCTCTATTAAGAGGACTTTTAAAGATCTCAGCATCACATATAATTTTTTAAACAGATTGTAATTCTGTTCAAGTTGGTGAAAGGGTTATACCTCTACCTAGTGTGTCTTGGGTCAGTCACAGCATCAAACCACACAAGCTCGACATGTACTTAATGTTCATATGTTTAAAGGGAAGGAGATTTCAAAGAAAGTCAAATAGGAAAATATGACAAACTAAAAACAAAAAGCAGATGGAATATATTAACTAAAATCTATAAGAAATTCAAGTATAAATACACAAACTACCTGAGTTCTGTCAGAAAGGCCTTTAAAGAAAAGGACGACAAAGCTTGGCCTGGGAGTAAACATGGAGGAATTGAAGAGATTGAGTCCTGAGAATCCTCAAACATATTCATAACTGAAAATAACAACCGAAGCAAGTAGAGTAGAGACTGCAGCTATAAAAAAGGGCATGCTGGCCGGCATCAGCAGTCTGTCCACTTAATTTATATGAATTAATACACAGTGAGCCACACTAAAATTGTTCATGTAGTAACCCACTGTTCTCTACAACTTAAGAAGAATGAACTAAATAGATTATAGTGGCCAGAAGAATAGACAATTTCATTGTGATAGCGTAATTATTCTAACAAAGTAGGTTGTAAGAGCACTTACAAATAGGAATACATGAGTGTCTATGGTCTCAGGAGGTTAAAAAGGAACTGTAAAAATTATTTTAAATTAAGATATCGTGTTTAGTGGAAATAAAATTCTACTTATTAAAAAGAATTATTTTTTAAAAGAATGAAGATGGTCCCCTGGGCTTTTCTGTGACTCTCAGAGGACTGATCTTCATTGTATATGTATCCAGCACTTGTGGATTTCTAAGTCAAGCCAACTCAGCAGAAGAGAGGTGCTCTTTCGGAAAGCAGTTGCGACCATCAGGTATGCTTCTCACAACCAAGAATAGCAACGCGGTTTGTGCTTATAACTGCACATTTATGAAATCTCACCGATGCCAGTCAGCTAACACCTAACAGAAATGTTAGTAAAGCAGAACCCTGGGACCACAGGAAAAGAACATGTCTCTCGCAGGACAGTGAAAGCAGCAAGCCTTCCTCTCAGGTCTCTACCACTTATTTGTCAGAAAAACACAACTAAAGGGGTGAAGGAGAAGCCAGATGTAGCATTTTTCAATCTTCAAGAGCACTGTTAAATTGTACAAAGCTAATATAGAGTGGCCTGATACAGTTGCTAGTACTTAAAACAAGAACATTCATACTGGTTTGTATTTGAAGTCGATCAATTCAGTATGTGCGTGCGTGCGTGCGTGCGTGCGTGTGTGTGTGTGTGATATAAGTGTTGTTTTTATGCACATACATGCATGGGTACATAGGCAATGTGTGCATGTGTAGAGGTCAGAAGTTAACTGGATACCACTGTCTATCTACACACTTCTGAGATAAGGTTTCTCACTGAGTCTGTGCTCACCAGAAGGGCTGGGGTGAATCTCAGGGATCGGCTTGTGCTGGTTTTCACAGAGCTGGAAATCTGTGTGCCAACTGCTCATATAGTTGCATGGAATTTCAAGTCAGTTCTAATGGTTGCAGAGCACTTTACTCGCAGCCAGCCCCCCAGCCACTAAACGTAAGACTCTCTACCACCATATGATGAGGTAGTATGCTTGACGCAGCTCTGTACTTTTAGGTGTCTACAGCTAAAGGACCAAGCTTTGTTATATTAGCTATCTCATTCCGATATTTTAGACTCTAAATACTAATGCCTCCAAAATATTGTGTCTATTTGATGTTATATCATATAACATGCAACTGGAATGATTTTAATACTGTGCATATGAATGCTTAAAACCTGATGTTACTGTTTTAAATTATTAAAATCCACAACAGTAGCCATGAGAACACTAACAAATGCTCATTAGCAATTATGATGCTGTTTTCACTCTGTCAGATGTACAATCACAATTAGAAACATTCAATGAAACTATGATAAAGCTTGCACAACTTACTTTGCAACCTGCGTGTTGGGCTCTCTCCATGGAGCTGTCTCCGTGGCATATAAGGGGAAGGGTGAGGGAGCGGCAGTGAGGAGACATCATGGGTCTGAAGTTTGTACCAGTGCGGCTCGTCATCTAACAGAGCTGTTTCCAATTCAATTAGAATCTACAAACCAAAGGGCACAAAGGCCTGTTACACCATAAAACTGAGATCTCTTCAATAGCCTTATAACTTTTATAATATTATCACAGTAATTCTGTTACAACAAAGCAATAGATAATTAATGTTGCCAAATTGTCAGCAACGTTTTGACAGTAACTAAATGAGAATTTTTCTAGTGTTTTCATCACTTTATACTTTAAATACTTAGCTACATTAATTATATAGACCTTGACCATCCAACCAAGACAATATTAAATTTACAATATTTTATGCAAAAGGAATAGCGATTTTTATTTTTAAGATGAGCATGATAACTGATTTTTTCTTTTATTTTCAAACTCAAAAAGGCATTTTAATTTATAGTTCCTAGTATAATAGTAATTTCATAATAACTGATATATGAGAAGAAAACTTAATTATTAACAACCAGCCATGCCACATTATTTATTTGTATTATGAATAAAAATGACTATATTTGTCATATAGAAAAGGATTCTAAAGCTAAAAATAAGTAAAAATGACTTAAGGTCAGATAAGCTGCTACTAACAGAGATTAAAATGAAGTAAGTTTTCTTCCTTAAAACTTTATGTGCACTGAACCATACCACTGATAGTTCAAAACCAGAACATCACATCAGTAACTAATACTGTACAGCTGTCAAATGTCATTTAGAAACAAACAGAGAAAGGCAAGAACTGGTGCTTGAATGTGTACCATATCATCCTATGGATGGTATAATATGGTTTTTTAATTATAAGAGAAATCAGTTTGTAGAAATGATTTTCTGTTTTCCTTGAGGTGATTATGCAAGTATGACAGAGCTTGTACATATTATGCGGATCTACCATGTAAAGATAAACTGATAAGTTACTGTGCTATTGAGCTACAAGTAAATAGGCAAATGCTGTTGTCTTACTAAGTCTAAATGGTCCCTGTATATTTTCAATATTAGAGGCACTGCGATGCCATGTTAACAGATATTATACTTATTTAAACCTTCTACTAAACTTGTGCTGGATATTATCATTATTTACACTTGGCTTGAGAGGGAAACTGATGCAGGACAGATCACCCTGCTGGACACAGGGCTAGAAAGTCAAAGTACCAGAAATGTAGACAGGCTACTGGCTAGAGTTATTGTTTCCAAGAACTGCATGATCCTTCTATCCAAATGATTAATAGGCTTGTAACTCTATAACTGACCTCATTCAGTTCATATTTCTTTCTTTTTATTTTATCCAGGCTATTCTTCTTTCATTTAATCAGGAAAAAAAAGGTAGACTAAAAAAAACGACTGACGCAACTGACTTCTCCGTATCACACATAAACAGCTAGAAAGTGTCTTCCTCTCTCATCCCTCTTCAGTTCTCTGCATTACAACTGGAAATATTTTTCTCAATTCACATTTAGACAAACTTTGCTTAAACCTTTCACTGGCTCCCATTATTCACGGTATTAAATCCTGCTCCACTGCCTTTTCACTCTGAAGCTTCCTTTCGTCCCTCCAGTGTGAGGGAGCTGACCCAGACTCATCAGCCTCATGCCTTGTTATTCTCTCTGCAGAAATCTGTCTCTTTGACATGTAAAATTCTAGTCTTGTGACTACTTCTTTGGGGCACTGCAGTCCAGCACAGCAATTATATCCTCCTGCTACATTATATATTCCTACATTCTCCTCACCACAGCAATATCTAATCCACAGTGAGGTCCAAACTCTTGAGGCAAACCCATAGCAAAAATGCCCAATACAGTACATGGCTTACAAAATAATCAAGGAATAAAATAACAAAAGCTGAAAACACTGCACAAGGCAACGGTGTATCTATCAAGTGCAAATCTAACTTTTACCATCACATACTAAGGTTCTCCCCAGCTCTTTATTATTATGGTGGTTTGTTTGTTTGGGCATTAGCTTCTGGTTTTGAGACTGAGCCTCATGTTACCCTCACTGTACTTGAATTCTTAAATCAAATGATCAGGTTCCCTAGGAGCTACGATCATAGGCATAGATTACTACTGATACACCCAGCTGTGCTAAGAATCTTTAAAAACATTGTGTTCTTTAGTATTGCTCAGTTTTATCTTAAAGCAGTGAATCTGTTCTGCTAAATTAAGAGACACTTAAAATTTTGACTCTACTGATAACAGTCATTTAAACAACAGAAAGGTCTGAGAAGCTTCAACTTGAACTACTTCCAGGTACCTCTCCTAAGAATTCACTCTCTTCTTCTCGAACTCTAGCTTGATCCCAAAGGGTAATTTCGAGCATTCGTTCCCGGAATTCTCTTCGGTGGACAGGAGAATAAATGAAAGTCTGGTTCCATTTGGGTTCCAAAGTCTTCTTCACTGTTTTTGTTCTTCTCTTGTTTTTATCACTATTTTAATAAGAAAAAAAAAAGCGAACTTACATACAAGGTTTTTACTCTATATTTTATCAATTTAAAATTTCTCAGGGAAAAAGTCAAATAAAGTTTAAACTCCCTGCTAAACTATGACATGTCATGCTGTAACTTAATCAAAGTATCAGCTCAAATAAACCTCTTCACTTAAGCTGCAGAAAGTTAACTGTAAAAAGAAAATACATAAATTGCAATGTTTACTTCATGAAAGTAGCTAAGGGAGTGACTGTGAAGAATTATTTTAAGAATATATTTTAAGAATAATCTTATCTCAAATAAAAAGTACTAATTGCTTTTTTGACCGAAAGAAAGAAAGAAAGAAAGAAAGAAAGAAAGAAAGAAAGAAAGAA